CCTCCTGGCACTTAACAGCATATACAACATTGCTCTGTTTGTGCCGGGGCACCGGATCTTTGGGGTGAACCAGCTCAGACTGAAGAAGTCTCTTGGAGAAGAGACGAAACGTTTCATTAGAGAAGAACCCGTCCAGAAGACCTATACAATTCTTTTCTTTTTGATTTTTTTACCTGGATTACTGAGATGCATAAGGACAAAACTTTGACAGTTTGCAGTAGCCTATATTAGATATGTTAAATATGATCTACTACATGAAGGAATCTGAGATATTTGTAAAGAATAACRGCAGCGAAAAGGAGCCTGTTCTCTTGTTTATTCAGCTGACAGAGAGAGAAAACGAAGAAAAGGAGGGAAGGAAGGATTGTTCCCTCGAGCTACTTCTACCTTTTGTCTCCTCCCATCTCATTCCTTTGTTTCTCAGGTGTCTGCTGTTTTGGAAAACTCAGAGCTGCGATTAAGGTGTTGCTTCCCATTCAGTCAGTTCAGCTCTGCGACCCTCAGGCTGTAGAAACTGACCTACAAACACAGTCGCAATGTGGAGCGTGGAATTTAATTATAGAAATGAAGAAATGCTTTTCCTGCAGTGAAAGCTGAGGTGAAAGACTGCTAAAGTTTGCTAAAAAGGTTGAAACTGAGTTAAAATTAAAAGAAGCTGAACACTAGCTAAAAACTAAAATGAGCAAAACACTAGCAAAACTAACTAAGACCCTCAAAAGGCTCATTARAAGCTGAAAAAAGATTATTTGAAGATAAAAGTGGCAAAAAGCCTAGCTAGAAGCTACAGAATGGTAGCTAAAGAGATGCTTAAATTCACAGGTTTGTCCAATCCAGTCTAGTTTATTAATAAAACCTTTTAAAACTCCTCTGAAAGAACAAAGTGCTGCACAATAAAATCACTTGACAATAAAAGATAAAAAGCATATAAAAACACTCAATGATAAAATATGAAAAGCATAAAACCAAAGGAAAAACTGATGGAAAACATAAAAATCAACATCTATAAGCTGTAGCAAAGTCAGTGAATAAAAGTAGGTTTTAAAGATGACTTAAAAGCAGCTTATAAGGAGGCCTGTTTAATGTGCAGAATCATTCCATAACTTAGGAAGTAGCTAAAATATAATTCCAACAATAAACGACTGAAATAGACATATATGCAGTAATTATTGGATATCAATATATTTTAGAGGTGAAATTATATG